TTGCGAATCGGGTGCAGTTATCAGGGCACGGTAGCTACATGATGTCAACCAAGTGAACACCCATCTACCCCTCCACTACCTCAATAGAATGCAGATACATGCTTAGTTGGGTAGATGGGTGGACAGCAGTGAAGGGGGAACAAATTGGGGAGGCGTAATGTACGCGAATCACCACCCGCATGAACCCACTCTACACGCCGCCTTTTACCAAATGACTTCACTTTCAGTCCAGTACTCTTATCACTAGCGATGGGAATAAGAGACGGCCCCGATGCAGTGCATCATCCACACTCCACCAGTATAAAAACAGCGCATTCCCTCCTCCTCAAGTCTAACTCGATGCGATGTTCGACAACTGCCTCATTTATTTACCCATCGGTTCCTTCCAACTACTGGGCACGACAATCCCAAAAAATCCTTTGCAAAGGCCCAACACACCGAGCAACATCATGTCCTCATCCGACAAATTAGTATTCAAAGTCATTTAAAAGAAAGCCTTACAGGATGCAGAAAGTTGGGAGGGGAACGATATTAGTCCTCCTTGAGGGGATTGAATATCCAACTCATCAAAGTAGCTGTACGCGTTGCCCCTTCAAACAAACAATGCAACGCATAAAGCATCATCTTCACAATCCTTTCTGCTGTACACATCAAGAAGAACGTGTGTCCGAATTTAAAGCAGGACGAAATAAACCAGCATAACCAAACACCCTGTCAATCGCAACTCGGGGAGCATCTACAAAGCTGACGCTTCAATTCCGTCAACTTTGGCAAACTGCTACGTCAGTCGACTCTCCATTCAACACTTTCAAGACCTTCTTCCATGCACATTCAAAAGGCACGAACAACTGGCAAATAAAATAGCTTCCACGATAGGATGCTTGAAGTGGGAACGCCTGGTCAAACCACTCCGTAGGTAAAGCAGCTTGCAAGCGCCTTAGTGTTGCAGACACTAAATCTTCCACAAACATTGGTTAAGAAGGTAGGTAGGTAGGTAAGAAGGT